TTTTATAGCACTTAATTGAATGCCCTCTCGAACAGCCAAGTCTTAAGGCTTTTCCTGAAGGCCATAAGGGAGGGCGCCTGCCTGATGTCTGTAGGGAGAGTGTTCCACAGCCGGGGGGCCACCACTGAGAAGGCCCTCTCTCTTGTCCCCGCCAGGCGTGCCTGTGAGGCAGGCGGGATCGAGAGAAGGGCCTCCCCAGACGATCTCAAGGTCCTCGTGGGCTCATAGGCCAAGATGCGGTCTGAAAGGTATTTTGGGCCGGAGCCGTTTAGGGCTTTGTAGGCCAACACCAGCACCTTAAATTGGGCCCGGTAGCAAATCGGCAGCCAGTGGAGCTGGGACAACAAGGGCGTTGTGTGCTCCCTGTATCCCGCTCCAGTTAGTAGCATGGCTGCCGCGCGCTGAACCAGCTGAAGCTTCCGGGCCATCTTCAAGGGCAGCCCCACGTAGAGAGCGTTGCAGTAGTCAAGCCGGGATGTGACCAGAGCGTGTACCACCGTGGCCAAGTCAGACTTCCCGAGATACGGGCGCAGCTGGCGCACGAGCCGGAGCTGTGCAAATGCTCCCCTGGTCACCGCTGAAACCTGGGGATCCAGGCTCAACGATGAATCCAGGGTTACACCCAAGCTGCGAACCTGCGCCTTCAAGGGGAGTGCGACCCCATCCAGCACAGGCTGTAACCCTATATCCCGTTCGGCCTTGCGACTGACCAGGAGTACCTCTGTCTTGTCTGGATTTAGTTTCAGTTTGTTCGCCCTCATCCAGACCGTCACAGCGGCCAGGCACCGGTTCAGGACCTCGACAGCCTCCTTAGTAGCAGGTGGGAAGGAGTGACAGAGTTGGACATCATCTGCGTACAGATGACACCGCACCCCGAAACTCCGGATGATCTTACCCAGCGGCTTCATGTAGATATTAAACAGCATGGGGGACAGTATGGAACCCTGTGGAACCCCACAAGTCAAAGGTTGTGGCGTAGAACAGGAGTCCCCCAATAACACCTTCTGGGTGCGGCCCTCCAGAAATGAGTGGAGCCACTGCAAAGCAGTGCCCCCAAGGCCCATCTCCGCAAGGCGCCCCAGAAGGATACCGTGGTCGACAGTATCGAAGGCCGCTGAGAGGTCCAGGAGCACCAACAGGGACACACTCCCCCTGTCTAGCTCCCGGCGCAGATCATCCACTAAGGCGACCAAGACCGTCTCGGTACCATGTCCCGGTCTGAAACCAGACTGTGCAGGATCCAGAATATCCGTGTCTCTCAAGAATACCTGGAGTTGTGAGGCCACCACGCTTTCCATGACTTTGCCCAAAAAGGGGAGATTGGAAACAGGCCGAAAGTTGTCAAATTTAGTGGGGTCCAATGATGGTTTCTTCAACAGCGGTTTTATAATAGCTTGTTTCAAGCTCGCTGGAATCTTGCCTTCCCGAAGGGAGGCATTAACCACCACCGTTACCCACTCAGCCAATCCCCCTCTGGCCTCCTTCAGAAGCCAGGATGGGCAGGGGTCTAGGATGGACGTGGTGGGCCTCATTCCTCCAAGTATCTTGTCCACATCCTCGGGTTTCACAAACTGAAAAGAATCCATCAAAATAGGACAAGCAGGTGCTCCAGTTACATCCTCTGAGACTGCATTTAACGCGGCGTCCAGCCCAGAACGGATCAAGGCGACTTTGTCTGCAAAGAACCGAGCAAATGCTTCACAGCGCGTGACCGAATTGTCAGGGCTCCCGCCAGAGGTGGCGGGAGTTAAAAGACCTCTAACAATCCGAAACAACTCCGCCGGACGGTTCTTTGCAGACGCAATAGTGGCCGCAAAGAAAACTTTCTTTGCGGCCTTTATTGCCGCGGCATATGCCCTAAGGGACACAAACCGTGCTCGGTTTGACTCGCTTGGATCCGAACGCCACACGCTCTCTAGTTCTCTTCCTTCGCTTCATCACTGCCAGCTCCTCAGTAAACCAAGGGGCTGGTTTAGCTCGGCTACTTGAGAGGGGACGCTCCGGAGCGATCATGTCAATTGCCCTGGTCATCTCCCCATTCCAGAGAGCGACCAAGGCCTCGACATGGTCACCTACCGAGGTGGCAGGAAAATCCCCAAGAGCCGTCAGGAATCCATTCGGATCCATAAGCCTCCTGGGGCGGACCATCTTAATGGGTCCTCCACCTTTGCAGAGGTTAGGGGGCGCAGTGAGCCTAAATCTGACCGGAGAGATGGACAACTCCTCCACACCGCCACCCTGTTCCCATCCCTGACAGAAAACCAAATCCAATGTGTGTCCAGCACAGTGGGTGGGGCCAGATATTTGTTGGGACAGCCCCATGGTTGCCATGGCAGACATGAAGTCCTGAGCCGCTCCTGTGAGGGTCGCCTCGGCATGGATGTTGAAGTCCCCCAGCACAAGAAGCTGTTGAGACTCCAACGCCAGGCTCGAGACCACCCCTGCTAGCTCAGGTAGGGAGACTGTAGTGCAGTGAGGTGGACGGTACACTAGCAGAATCCCTATTCTGTCCCGGTCACCCACCCTCAGGTGGACGCATTCAAAATTTGTGGTCTGCGGGATGGGACTCCTGGTCAGATGGATGGAATCTCTATAGACCACTGCGACCCCGCCTCCCCGTCCTCCGGATCTCGGTTGGTGCTGCACGGAGAAACCTGGAGGACAAAGCTGGGTCAGATTTCCACCTCCAGCTTCATCCAGCCAGGTCTCCGTGATGAACGCCAGATCTGCCCGTTCATCCAGGATATAATCCTGATAAAGGTTGTTTTCCGTTGACAGATCTGGCGTTCAACAGCACCACCTTCAATCCGGAGGGCCCGCCAGCCTGGTTACACCAATTTACCCTAGGAGACCGGTTTGGGATTGTTAATGTAGATAAACGGTCCGAATTAAGCCGAATTTGAGGTCTCCTTTTTCCGCATCTCCTCCTTCCCACCACGACCTCTATGGGGGCCCCTCGGCTAGTGGAACACCTCCCCTCCTCCGTGCCGCAGTCCATGGCCAAGGTCTTAGTACCTGTTTCGCTATTTGTTTGAGTTGTTGGCGTTTTTTCTTGCCAATTACCTTGGTTTTCTTTGTCCCCCCTCCCTTCCTCATTGTTCTTCACGGGCTCCAGCCCGCTTCCTCCCCCGCCCCTTCCACTAGTCAGTAATATCAGGGTCAGTATACATAAAAGGGTGGGGGACCACATGGATGAAAACAATACACTTCAGTAAGATGGCGATAATACAAGGTAACTGACGTTTTAACTACGACAGTAAGATAATCCTAAAGTGCAGGTGTCCTAAAGTGCAATAGTAGTCCAGTCCACGGCTACAGGCCACTAGGGCAATTCATAAAGTGCGGTTCTTGAGTGCGGCCAAAAACCCAGAACTGGCCCTCGATACTACTAAAGTGCGGCAGGAGGGATCGGGAAAGGGGCAGTGCAAAACAGTTGGCAGCAGAGGCAGGCGCCTTAAAGTGCTGTATTACCCTCTTATTATCAAATTAGCAGCAAAGGTAGAAAAGGAACTGTGATGTGCAATGTATTATAATATGTATAAATATAATATAAATATAATAAGTATAAATGTATTACAATATGATGTTATAATTATATATTTATATTACATGTAATATTACTAATAATATAATAATATAGTGGTATAGTACAATATAATATAACTCTATAAATGTATAAATGTATTATAATATGTATAAATATAAATATAATATAAATATAATATGCATAAATGTATTATAATATGTATAAATACAATATAAATATAATAAGTATAAATGTATTACAATATGATGTTATAATTATATATTTGTATTACATGTAATATTACTAATAATATAATAATATCATGGTATAGTGCAATATAATAGAATACTATTAATGTGTTCTAATATATATATAATATAAATATAATATAATAAGTATAAATGTATTATAATATGGTTATAATTACATATTTATTTTACATGTAATATTACTAATAATATAATAATATAGTGGTATAGTGCAATATAATATAACTCTATAAATGTATAAATGTATTATAATATGTATAAATATAAATATAATATAAATATAATATGCATAAATGTATTATAATATGTATAAATACAATATAAATATAATATAATAAGTATAAATGTATTATAATATGATGCTATAATTATATATTTATTTTATATGCAATATTACTAATAATATAATGGTATAGTGCAATATAATATACTATAAATGTATTATAAATGTATAAATATAATATAATAATATAGTGGTATAGTGCAATATAATATAACTCTATAAATGTATAAATGTATTATAATATGTATAAATATAAATATAATATAAATATAATATAATAAGTATAAATGTATTATAATATGATGCTATAATTATATATTTATTTTATATGCAATATTACTAATAATAGAAGACTATAAATGTATTATAATATGTATAAATATAATATAAATGTATTAAGTATAAATGTATTACAATAATGTAATATTACTAATAATACAATAATATAATGGTATAGTGCAATATAATATAATACTATTAATGTATAAATGTATTAAAATGTGTATAAATATAATATAAGTATAAATGTATTACAATATGATGTTATAATTATATATTTATATTACATGTGATATTACTAATAATATAATAATATAATATAATACTATAAGTGTCGTAAACAAATAAATAAATGCTGCAATATAATATATTCTATATCAGGCCTGGGCAGGTGTTTTGGACTTCAACTCCCAGAATTCCTCTTTCCTGAAAGGAAAGAGCCTGAGTCTGTGAGGAATTCTGGGAGTTGAAGTCCAAAACATCAGGTTGGCCCTAAAGGCGGCCTCTCTAGGACCTCCCACTTGGTGAGAGTCTATGCTTCCGGCTTGGGACTCCATTTCCCAGAATGCCCTTCAATGGGCCGAAGCAGCCGAGGCTTCTGGGAGTTGAAGTCCTAGCGCCCTGAGGAGGCGAGGGTGGGCCTAGCCGCTTCCTTCCGGGCAGAAGAGACTTCTCGGCGGGCATGGAGGGCGGAGGGCGAGGCAAGCTCAGCCTGAAGCGAAAGAGGTTTGAAGACAAACCCGAGTGAGTAGGCCGCGCGAAAGAGGACCGCGCATGCGCATCCCGGAGCACTCCTTCCTTTCCTCCCGCTTCGGCGCCATTTTGTGCCTCAAAGCAGCGCGCATGCTCAGTCGGCATCCTCGTCCTCCTTGGAGCCATAGCGCATGCGCACCAGGAGACCCCTCTCTCCGGCTCTTAAAGGAGCCGCCCAAGGTGCTGAACCCTCTTTCCCCAAAACAGGAAATCACACTTTAATGAACCCTAGTTTTTACACAAAGTGTAGAATGGATGTGTGTTGGGTTGCTGTAGGTTTTCCCAGGCTGTATGGCCATGTTCCAGAAGCATTCTCTCCTGATATTAGCACTGAATGGCCTATCAGCTTAAAAGCCTGGCTGCTTGCTGCCCGAGGGAATCCTTTCTGGGGTGTCCACTTACACAGGCCAACGAGAGATATATATGCTAGGTTTCGCATCACAAAATGACAAGTCGAACACTTCCCCAGTGATTTATTATTATTATTACTACTATTATTATTATTATTACTATTGTGTTGTCGAAGGCTTTCATGGCTGGAAACATTGGGTTGCTGTGAGTTTTCCAGATCGCATGGCCGTGTTCCAGAAGCATTCCCTTCCTGATGTTAGCATTGAATGGCCTATCAGCTTAAAAGCCTGGCTGATTGCTGCCCGGGGGAATCCTTTCCGGGATGTCCACTTACACAGGCCAACAAGAGATATATATGCTAGGTTTCGCATCACAAAATGACAAGTCGAACACTTCCCCAGTGATTTATTATTATTATTACTACTACTACTATTATTATTATTATTACTATTGTGTTGTCGAAGGCTTTCATGGCTGGAAACATTGGGTTGCTGTGAGTTTTCCAGATCGCATGGCCGTGTTCCAGAAGCATTCCCTTCCTGATGTTAGCATTGAATGGCCTATCAGCTTAAAAGCCTGGCTGATTGCTGCCCGGGGGAATCCTTTCTGGAGTGTCCACTGACACAGGCCAACGAGAGAGATATATGCTAGGTTTCATATCACGAAATGACAAGTCGAACACTTCCCAAGTGATTTATTATATATATTACATATATATTATATAATATAATATATATGTAATATATATATTAAATTACTTGGGAAGTGTTTGATATATAATATATTATATATTGTATATACATATATTTATATTATAATGTAATGCAATATAATACTAATAATATATTATTATATATTTATATTACATGTAATATTACTAATAATATTACAGTATAATTGATATAGTACAATATAGTAATATATAATACTGATATTGTACTATGCTAATAATATATTGCATGTATATTATATATATATATAATATTGTATATACATATATTTATATTATAATGTAGTGCAATATAATAATAATAATATATTATATATTTATATTACATGTAATATTACTAATAATATTACAGTATAATTGATATAGTACAATATAGCAATATTTAAAACTGATACAAGGGATTTAGTGATTATATATATTATGTATAACATAATATAATATATAATATATTGTATATATGTATATTTATATTATAATGTAATGCAATATAATAATACTAATAATAATATGTTATATATTTATATTACATGCAACATTACCAATAATATTACAGTATGATGGATATAGTACAATATATAATACTGATATTGTACTATGCTAATTATATATTGTATGTATGTGTGTGTGTGTGTGTGTGTATATATATATATATATATATATATATATATATATATATATATATATCTTGTAAACCACTCTGAGTCCCCTTCGGGGTAAGAAGGGCAACATATAAATGTCATTAATAATAATAATAATAATTATTATTATTATTATTATTATTATTATTATTGTGTTGTCGAAGGTTTTCATAACTGGAATCTTTGGGTTGCTGCGAGTTTTCTGGATTGCGTTCCAGAAGCATTCCCCCCTGATGTTAGCATTGAATGGCCTATCAGCTTAAAAGCCTGGCTGCTTGCTGCCCAAGGGAATCCTTTCTGGGGTGTCCACTTACACAGGCAAACAAGATATAAAATCACAAGCCAAACACTTCCCAAGTGATTTATTATTATTATTACTACTACTACTACTACTACTATTATTATTGTGTTGTCAAAGGCTTTCTTGGCTGGAATCATTGCGTTGCTGCAAGTTTTCCGGATTGTGTGGCCGTGTTCCAGAAGCATTCTCTCCTGGCATTAGCATTGAATGGCCTATCAGCTTAAACGCCTGGCTGCTTGCTGCCTGAGGGAATCCTTTCTGGGGTGTCCACTTTCACAGGCCAACGAAATATATATGCTAGGTTTTGTATCACAAAATCACAAGTGGAACACTTATAAGTGACTTATTATTATTGTGCTGTCGAAGGCTTTTGTGGCTGGAAACATTGGGTTGCTGCGAGTTTTCCGATTGCATGGCCATGTTCCAGAAGCATTCTCTCCTGACGTTTCGCCTGCATCTATGGCAGGCATCCTCAGAGGTTGTGAGGTCTGTTGAAAACTAGGAAAATGGGGTTTATATATCTGTGGAATTAATGTCCAGGGTGGGAAAAAGAACTCTTGTCTGTGGATGTTTCAATTGGTTGCCTAGATTAGCATTTAATGGCCTTGTAGTTTCAAAGCCTGGCTGCTTCCTGCCTGGAGGGATCCTTTGTTGGGAGGTACTAGCTGGCCCTGATTGGGTCTGGTCTGGAATTCCCTTGCTTTTTGAGTGTTGCTCTTTATTTATTCTCCTGGAAGCCAGATTGTGTTTATAGGGAAGCCGATGAAGAAAGGCAACCTTGGGTGTGTGTTGTTTTGCAGAGCCAGCGGCCCTTCCCGGCCTCCCAAGCCAGAGGTCAGCCAGGGCCAAGGACTTCCATGGCGGGCCCCCATCCGAGCTGCCCAGCCCCATCTGACCTGCCCAGGCCTGGAAGACATGGCCAGCCTCCCGGCGTTCCTCCCAAAGGGAAAGGTATCTCCAAACACGCCTAACAATGCTCCCAGAATTTCGAATTTTAGAATGTTGAGGCTGGCCAATCAGGAAGTATATGCAAATTAGTAAGTGRGGATAGCACAGGGGGCGGAGCCAGGCATCCTCATTATTATTATTATTATTATTATTATTATTATTATTATTATTATTATTATTATCCGATGAAGGCAGACTTTTAGGATGAATGCTCCTAGAATTTCAAATTTTAGAATGTCGAGGCTGACCAATCAGGAAGTATATGCAAATTAGTAAGTGAGGATAGCACAGGGGGCGGAGCCAGGCATCCTTATTATTATTATTATTATTATTATTATTATTATTATTATTATTATTATTATTATCCGATGAATGCAGACTTTTAGGACGAATGCTCCTAGAATTTCGAATTTTAGAATGTTGAGGCTGGCCAATCAGGAAGTATATGCAAATTAGTAGGTGGGGATAGCACAGGGGGCGGAGCCAGGCATCCTCATCATCATCATCATTATTATTATCAGATGAATGGAGACTTTTAAGATGAATGCTCCTAGAATTTCAAATTTTAGAATGCTGAGGCTGACCAATCAGGAAGTATATGCAAATTAGTAGGTGGGGATAGCACAAGGGCGGAGCCAGGCATCCTCCTCATTATTATTATTATTATTATTATTATTGTTGTTGTTGTTGTTGTTGTTATTATCCGATGAACGCAGACTTTTAGGATGAATGCTCCTAGAATTTCAAATTTTATAATGTCAAGGCTGACCAATCAGGAAGTATATGCAAATTAGTAGGTGAGGATAGCACAAGGGCGGAGCCAGGCATCCTCCTCATTATTATTATTATTATTATTATTATCCGATGAATGCAGACTTTTAGGACAAATGCTCCTAGAATTTCGAATTTTAGAATGTTGAGGCTGGCCAATCAGGAAGTATATGCAAATTAGTAGGTGGGGATAGCACAGGGGATGGAGCCAGGCATTATTATTATTATTATTATTATTATTATTATTATTATTGTTATTATTATCCGATGAACGCAGACTTTTAGGATGAATGCTCCCAGAATTTCAAATTTTAGAATGTTGAGGCTGGCCAATCAGGAAGTATGTGCAAATTAGTAAGTGCGAATAGCACAGGGGGCGGAGCGAGACATTATTATTATTATTATTATTATTATTATTATTATTATTATTATTATTATTATGCTTGTTTTTGTATTAAATGCTGAATGGATAGACTGCTTAAGTGCAAAGCATCCCATTGAGAAGGACATAAACTTATCTGCCTTGCAGAGGTCTCCAACGGCCAACCCGGCGGCAAAACCGGAAACGTTTCACGCCGGAATGCAAAAGTTCCAGTGGGTTCCTTTCCCACTTTACCAAAGGGAAGGCACTAAAGGGAGCAAGCCAAGGAGGCCTCAAAACTCTGGAATCAAGGCGGACGGTCGGAAAGAAAACGAGGAAGACAAAAACCCCAAAATCGTGCCTCCCGTTACGTCAAAAGAACATACCTCTGAGATTTCGGAAATGACATCTATATTAGCTGCGGGGGAACCTCATTGTATTAGTGTCGACGGCCAGGAAAAAACGGAGGATCCCAGTAAGGAAATGCAACTGGAAAAGTGTCCTTTGTGTCAGATGCGCTTCATTGGAAAGTAAGTCTAAGCTACTTTATTTATTTCATATCAAAAGCCTTGCATAAATCGTCCTGCGTAGATTCTGAAGAGTGCCTTCATATATATATGTGTGTGTGTGTTTAATTTACTATATGTATATCCTGCCCTCTCTCGCCCCACCAACCCCCAGAGTCAGAGATAGTTAGAGAGTCAAAAAGTTTTCAGTTAGGGATTCCTGTTTGGGAAGGACAGTTAGGAGCTTCTGTGAGAGAAAAGCAGTTAGGAAAATGGAGCTTAAGTTTTAAGGAAAATAAAGACGTGCCAGTGTGGTTTAAGGCAAAATATAGTTCTGTCAAGAGTGTATGAAAAAGTAACATATTTGTTGATGTAAAACAGTTGAAGTTTGATAGGAAAAGTTAACTAAGTGAATGATATTGAATATAAGACTCCAGACTGTAACAAAACATACAAATGTAACCATAAGCGTTGGAGCCAGAAGCTAAAAATAAACTTTGTTACTTCGTTTACTACAGGAGTGCCTCAAGCCTGTAATATAAAAGCCTCAAGGTAAAAGCTCACAAGGAAGCCCCAGCCAATATAAAAAGGGGAAAATACATCAATACAAGGCAATATTATTGTAACCCTAAACCTATACCTTTTTACTATACTGCAATATCATTAGTAGTATGACATGTAATATATAATATAAAATTATATTATTATATCGTATTATTGGTATATTGTATTACATTAAAATATTACGATCAATTCCATCGTTGGTGGGGTTCAGAATGCTCTTTGATTCTAGGTGAACTATAAATCCCAGCAACTACAACTCCCAGATGACAAGCTCATTTTTTTTAGTGAAGGACATACATTGGCTTGTTAGGTGTCTTAATAAGCCAATGTATGTCCTTCACTAAAAACAAAATGATTTTGTCATTTGGGAGTTGTAGTTGCTGGGATTTATAGTTCACCTAGAATCACAAAGCATTCTGAATCCCACCAACGATGGAATTGGGCCAAACCTCCCACATAGAAACCCCATGTGGGCCACAGCAACGCGTGGCGGGGAAGGCTAGTGATAAATGTAATAATAATAAAAAAGAGTAAATAAATAATAATACTAATAATAAATAGAGTAAAATAATAAATGTAATAAAATAATAATACTGCAGAGTAAAATTTATGTAAATATAATAATAATAATTAATATATTAAAATAATTCATGTAATAAATTGATACTAATAACAAAGTAAAGTAATAAATAACCTTGACTTGAGTATAAGTCGAGGGGAACTTTTTCAGCCTAAAAAGGGGGCTGAAAAACTAGGCTTATACTCAAGTATATACAGTAACTACTAAAATAATAAAAATAAATATAGCGTCCCTACTTTGCGGATTTTCACTTTTCGCGGGTGGTCCTGGAACGTAACACCCATGATAAGTGAGGGAACACTGTATATATATGTGTGTGTGTGTGTGTGTGTGTATATATATATCTTAAGCTAGTGAAGAACATGGCTGACTTTATATCAAGTCTAATAATGCAAATGAAATATGTAAATTGATTTTGACTCAATCTACTTCTCCGTCTTAACTTTGCAGCTGGTCCCAACTGGACGTTGACAGTCATCTCGCTCAATGTTTATCTGAAAGTACAGACGACACGTGGTAAAAAGAAAGAAAGAAAAAACATTAAATATGAAGATTCGAGGTCTAAGAATGAGGACGTTGTTGCGCCGATATTTTTCGCGTTTGTTCGTTGTATATTCTATCTGTCTGGATGTACATTTGAGAATACTATGCAAGTGTTGATGAAGGTTTTCGTGTCCAGAATAAATGGGTTACTGTGAGTTTTCCAGACTGCCTGGCCATGTCCCAGAAGCATTCTCTCCTGACTTTTCGCCCACATCTGTGGGGTTTATCTAGCTGTGGAATGATGTCCAGGGTGAGCAAAAGAACTCCAAGTGTGAATGTTGCAATTGGCATTTAGGGACAGCTAATCACTTCTCAAGAAAGGATTCCCCTAGGAAGTAAGAAGCCAGACCTTGAAAACTGCTCGGCCATTCAATGCTAATCAAGAAACACTCCCACCTACCTCCAAAAGACAAAGAGTTCTTTCCCCCACCCTGGGTTTTCCATATATATATATATATATATATATATATATATATATATATATATAACCCCAACTGGCCACCTTGATTAGTATTTAATGGCTTTGCAGCTTCAAAGCCTAGCTGATTGCTGCCTGGGGGAATCCTTTGTTGGGAGGTGTTAGCTGGTTTTCACTGTTTCTTGTCTGGAATTCCCAGTATTGTTCTTTATTTACTGTCCTGATTTTTTAAAATATTGGGAGCCATATTTTGTTTCTTTTCATGGTTTCCTCTTTTCTGTTGACGTTGTCCAAGGTGATTAATTGCAAGAGTTCTTTCTCCCACCTTGGACCTGCCATAGATGTGGATGAAACGTCAGGAGAGAATGCTTCTAGAACATGGCCATACAGATCAAAAAGAGTTCTTTCTCCCACCCTGGACATGATTATAATATATATAACCAGACATATAAACCCAATTTTCCCAGTTTTCAACAGACCTCACGACCTGAGGACACCTGCCACAGATGTGGGCGAAACGTCAGGAGATAATGCTTCTAGTACATGGCCATACAGCCCGAAAAGAGTTCTTTCTCCCACCCTGGACATCATTATAATATAAACAGACATATAAACCCAGTTTTCCCAGTTTCCAACAGACCTAGCAATCTGAGGACACCTGCCACAGATGTGGGCGAAATGTCAGGAGAGAATGCTTCTGGAACATGATCATACAGCCCAAAAAGAGTTCTTTCTCCCACCCTGGACATCATTATAATATAACCCATAGATATATAAACATATAAACCCAATTTTCCCAGTTTCCAACAGACCCCACAACCTGAGGACGCCTGCCACAGATGTGGGCAAAACATCAGGAGAGAATGCTTCTAGAACATGGCCATACAGCCCAAAAAGAGATTATAATATATATAAACAGTAATATAAACCCAATTTTCCCAGTTTACAACAGGCCTCACAACCTGAGGACACCTGCCACAAATGTGGGCAAAACATCAGGAGAGAATGCTTCTAGAACATGGCCATACAGCCCAAAAAGAGTTCTTTCTCCCACCCTGGACATCATTATAATATAAACCATAGATATATAAACCCAATTTTCCCAGTTTTCAACAGACCTCACAACCTGAGGACGCCTGCCACAGATGTGGGCGAAATGTCAGGAGAGAATGCTTCTGGGACACGAAAACTCACATTATGCAACCCGTACTATACAAACTTTGTTTTTTTGGTCTCTGGTTCTTTCAAATGGTGAATTCCGAGTCAAAACGCCACTCATATTCAGACAACACAACCATTTCGTCGGAGCGAAATTTCGTTTTTTCATTGAAGACTTTAATCGATGTGCAAGAATATAAACGATCTTAGTTGTTTACCGGTTAGTATGACCATCTTTGTTTTGTTTTTTGCACAAATAAAACCGGGCAAAGGTCTCGACTAGGGAATTATACAAAACTACAAGAACATATTTACGGTTGTACAATCATGGAAATTGGCGGTTGTGTCGTTTCCTCCGTTTACATACAGTTCATTTACAAGGAGATCGTGACCGGGATCCGTTCGCAATATATTAGGACTTTGCTTTGGAAAAACCACACAGGGATATATTTACATCCTTCATTATTTCTCTATAGAGTTTTATAAAACAAGTGCTTTATATATATATATTTATATATTTTAAAAAAATCTCCTCCATCATGGACAGGACATGAGAGTCATACATGAGCCACGGGCTTCTTCTATTTGGCAACACAGCGGCGTCGTACACGCTTGAAATTGTAAAGAAATCAAGGATTGGGATCAATGCAGATAGAAAAGAAAAGAAAAGAGAATGTTTGTATGTGGAGGGAGGACGGGAGGTGTATGTGGCAGCTTTCTGATTGGCTGCCACTGTGGTACAATTTGCATATGGTCTCCGATTGGCCAGCCTCAACGTTCTAACACTCTGAATTGGCTGATAGGGAAAAGGAAAGGGACAGAGGCTGTCAGGAATGGTGGGAGTTGAAGTCCAACAATGACAGAACAAGACCAAACTTGGCACACAGACCCCCTCCCCCAAGACCCACCCTACATCCTGGGGCAGACTATGGATGATGGGACTTGCAGTACCTTCCCTCACTTACTGAAACCACTGTGACCCTAATCCAATGACTGATCAAGACCAAATTTGGCATACAGAAGCACCATGACCCACTCTACATCCTTCTGCAGTTTGGAGGGTGGGCCATGTATGATGGGACTTGCAGTACCTTCCCTCACTTACTGAAACCACTGCAACCCTCATCCAATGACTGATCAAAACCAAACTTGGCACACAGAACCCCCATGACCTACTCTACATCCTGCTGCAGTTTGGAGGAGGGTGGATCATGGATGATGGGACTTGCAGTACCTTCACTCACTTACTTAAACCACTGTGACCCTAATCCAATGACTGATCAAGACCAAACTTGGCACACAGGGCCCCCATGACCAAACCTTGCTGCAGTTTGGAGGAGGGTGGACCATGGATGATGGGATTTGCAGTATCTTCACTCACTTACTGTAACCACTGTGACCCTAATCCAATGACTGATCAAGACCAAATTTGGCATACAGAAGCACCATGACCCACTCTACATCCTTCTGCAGTTTGGAGGGTGGGCCATGTATGATGGGACTTGCAGTACCTCACTCACTTCCTGAGACCACTGCAACCATCATCCAATGATTAATCAAGACCAAACTTGGCACACAGAGCCCTCATGACCCACTCTACATCCTGCTGCAGTTTGGAGGAGGATGGACCATGGACGATGGGACTCACAGTACCTTCACTCACTTCCTGAAAACAATGCAACCATCATCCAATGACCAATAAAGACCAAACTTGACATACAGAACTGCCATTACCCATTTTCTCTAATAATCTGGGCAGCGCCGGGTCCCCAAGCTAGTATGTATGTATGTGTGTGTGCGTGTGTATGTGTATACACACACACACTATTTGTTATTCTAGTATTCTGCTCTGACAAATGGAAAGGGCATGTGTTGTCGAAGGCTTTCACTGCCAGAATCACTGAGTTGCTGTTTTTTTCTGGGCTATCTGGCCATGTTCTAGAAGCATTCTCTCCTGACGTTTCACCCACATCCTCAGAGGTGGTGAGGTCTGTTGGAAACTAGGCAAGTGGGGTTTACATATCTGTGGAATAATGTCCAGGGTGGGAGCTCAGCCACAACATTATCTGGAAGGGACTGAGAAAAAATTGAATCATCTCTCGGTGGCCAAGGTGAGGGACATATAACATATTTCATCGCATAATAGTCGCACCCCCATTTTTCAGGTAATAAAATTGAATTTTTTTGTATATCTCACATAATAGTCACAGAGCCATTTTAGACTGATCCCTCCTTCCTTTTCAGAATGCCAAGCAGTAAAAAACCTATACAATGGAGGTCTCTGGAGCTCTGCTCGTCTCTCCTTCCTCCAAGGCTCCAAGGAGGAAACCATGAAAATGAACAATACTCAAAAACAGGGGAATTCCTGACAAGAAACAATCAGGGCCGCCTAACACCTCCAATCAAAGAATTCCCCCAGGTAGCAATCAGCCAGGTTTTGAAGTTGCAAGGCCATTCAGTGCTAATCAAGGGCAACATTCACACTTGCCTCAAGCAAACTAGAGTTCTGGACATCATTCCACAGATCTATAACCCCAGTTGCCTAGTTTCCAACAGACCCCTCAATCTCTGAGGATACCTGCCATGGATGTGGGCGAAACATCAGGAGAACACTTCTGGAACATGGTCATACAGCCTGGAAAACACAGCAAGATTTTGTCTTGCCTTGGAAGGGGGAAGGAGAGAATAGACCTCCATTTTGTAGTTTCTAAACCTCCTTGCCTTCGGAGAAAGAAGGGGAAGGAAGAGGGATTCAAAGGAAGATTTCTTTTCATCACGTAATAGTCGCACCCCTTTCTTCATTAAAGAGGGAATAAAAATTGTGACTATTATGTGAATTAAATATGGTCATCTTTATGGCTCTTTGAAAGGTTTTCCCATCAAATGCAGGTTTATTTTCATCACATAATAGTCTCACCCCTTTCTTCACTAAAAAGGGAATAAAACTACGACTATTATGCAAATTAAATACACTCATCACTTTATGGTTCTTTGAAAGGTTTTTCCATCAAACGCAGATTTCTTTTCATCACATATTAGTCGCACCCATTCCTTCACTAAAGGGGGGGGGGAATAAAAACTGCGACTATTACGCAAATTAAATACGGTTATCTTCTCTTTATGATTCTTTGAAAGGTTTTTCCACCCTGCAATTTGGGTTGGCCTTTCTCTCCTAGCACCTCATGTTCTCGTTCGGCACCTAAACGCAATGCTGTACCCTGAGAAACCTATACGACGAAATCAACGTAAAAATGACTGCGTAAGTTCTACATGAGAAATATTCTGGCACACAAAGGATTCAATTCCTCTGCAGAACTGGAAGCTCCTTAATTGAGAGTAGAAAGAGGCACCTACTAAAGAGTTCTGAAATGCTTCCCATCACAACGGACGCTCGTTTTGACCCCAAATTAAACTTGGTTTCAATTCCCCAAACTGACGCAACATCCTCCAGTTTTGCAAAAAAATATGGACATATTTCCAGTGCATTCATACAATATTTGTACATTGTGATTGAATTGACCAAACAGAATCGGGCGGGATATTTCAAACTTTTATGAAAAGTAGGAGGTGTGCTTTATCAGAACCAAAATGCAATATATGCCAATGAACTTTATTTTTTAAGGCGATGCTCCATTATGTATCCCCGTGGTTCCTTTTGAATATTGCATTGATAAAAAATACTATTCAAAACTTTGGGATACAACACAAAGATGATGTAGGCACTGCTCGAGTGTTGTTTTTTCTAAAATGTGCAAATTTCGAAATGTTCTTTTCAGAATTTATTTTCCTTCCATGTCAGCCAAAAAAACAATCAAAGGGAGCTAGTCTGAGTGAAGGTTCTCTCGCTGCTGCTTCAGCGGCGGATGAAGAGAACTGGAGGCTATTTATACTCATGGGGAGAGTGGGCGGGGCTACCGCCAAAATTGTTTAATAACTCTCTAGAAAGTTCCGAAAGCTGTTCTGCGCAGGGTCAGGAATTACTATATGTGCGATTCAAAGTTGACCACGATGGGAAATTTATTTTCCTTCCACATTAATTCCTTTTGTTTTAATAAGCGACACATTTGCAATTTGGAATTGTTATTGCTGAGACCTACGTCTCTTGTAAAAATTCTTTGAAGATAATAATAATAATACAGTAGAGTCTTGCTTATCTGACAGAAACGGGCCGTCAGAACGTCGGATAAACAAAAATGTCGGATAATATGGAGTCTCCTACGCGGTGTTGGACACCTAGAATACTAACAACAAGGACTCAAAGAGTTAAGGCAAGGCAACGCCCCGGGACTAGAGGGCCCAGCAGGAAGTGCCCGGATGCGGAAGAGGAGTGTGGAAATCACAGAGGGAAGGGCGCTTCCGCTTCCAGTCCTGCCTCTTTTCCCCCTTTCCTCTCTCCTCCTCCTCCTCGTCTTTTCTTTTTCACTTTTTGGGAATTGAGAGAGAGTTGGGGAGCACTCCTTTAATTGGATGGGAAATGGGGGGGCGTCGGATAAAACGGAATGTCGGATAAGCGAAGGTTGGACAACAGAAATTTTACTGTAATTTATTATATTAAATATTATTATCATCTTCAATAATATTAGCATAAGGTAAAAGTTGTCCCCTGACATTAAGTCCAGCTGTGTCCGACTCTCCATTTCTAAGCCAAAGAGCCGGCATTGTCTGCAGACACCTCCATGGTCATGTGGCCGGCATGAAAAGGTACCTTTTAATCTTCGCACCTTTGCATGTTTTCGAACTGTTGGCTGGCAAATATTATAATGTGCTACAATATTAAAGCACAGAGGATTAAATGGCACTCCATACAGTAATGCTGGCCACATGACCTTGGAGGTGTCTACGGATAACGCCGGTTCTTCGGCTTAGCAATGGAGGTGAGCACCATCCCCAAGAGCTGGACACGACAAGCCTTAAAAGTCAAAGGGAAACTTTTACCTTTACTTTAATAATTATATCAAAATTATTATTAATACTATTTTTATCTTCAAAATAATAATAATGATAATAATAATAATAATTGTTGTTAGTTATATAATTAGATATATATAATATAACAATTGGTCCAATGGTTGGTAGCTAGACTACTCACCGGAGTGTCACACAGGGAGTGTACCACCCGTATTTTATGACAGCTCCACTGGCTGCAGATCCAACTCTGAGCACAATTCAAAGTGCTGGTCTTGACCTATAAAACCCTATATGGTTCCGGCCCAGCGTATCTGTCCGAACGTATCTCCTTCTAGATCCCACCTCGGAGTTTAAGATCTTCTGGGGGAGGCCTTGCTCTCAGCCCCGCCTCTGTCTCAAACACGCTTGGTGGGGACGAGGGACAGGGCCTTCTCGGTGGTGGCCCCTCACCTGTGGAATTCACTCCCCGGGGAAATTAGGTCATCGTCATCCCTCCTCACTTTTAGAAAGAAGGTAAAAACGTGAATGTGGAACCAGGCCTTCGGGTAATTAAGCGGACAATGACAATAACAATGTTGACAACGGCTTGGAAATGGATTATGGATAAGTTGATGGAGCATAGAACTCCAGTATGCTGATGACAACATCGAGTGTGCGCATTCAGAAGACCTACTTATTATGTGACATCAAATTGTTGCCAATTGGAAGCCGCCCTGAGCGCCTCCCCCCCCTCTCAGGGGGTTGAGAAGGGCGGGGTACAAGTGTTCGAAATAAATAAATACATAAATAAATAAAATTATCCGACATTTTTGTTTATTCTGTCGGAGCAGCGGGACTCTACTGTATATTGAAGAAGAAGTGATGATAATAATAATAATTCATTTTGTTCCTCAAGGCGGGGATATCAAGTAAGATATTAAGAAAGATTAGTTAGCAGCTGTTAGTTCCAAAAATGGAATATCTCAACGTAATTGGTCCATCGAGGCACTTCAAATGCTGCACCCAAATTGGTTTAAATTGCTAATAAAACACAACTCCTTTGAACGCCTTTACACACACACACACACAAACACACCTTTGCATGTGTGTATGTAACCAAACATTGAAGATAGGTTCCACTTGTGAAAGAAGGCATCGGGAAAGAAGCTTCAACGCCGCGGTTTGATTCTTCCGGATGTTTTGCAGGAAAATGTCCAGTTTGGAAAGCAGTTTTGGCATCTCTCTTTTCCAAGGATGCAGCCAACCATCCATCCATCCTTGACGAAGCAGGCAGGAAAGGCGGGTGCCCCAGATCATCATAATAATTTCCAAATAATAATAATAATAATAATAATAATAATAATAATAATAATAATAATAATGGAAGACACTCACCAAAAACATGTTTTTTTTATTTTTCAGCAGCAATTTTCGCATCCTGTGTCTGTCTCCAGTCCAAACCTTAAGAGTCCCATCCAGCCTTGCATGCATATACTGTGGTCAGAATTCAATGTCACCATCCGCTCGTCCTCCGTGTTGACAATCCTTTTCTCTCATACCGTCTCCTCGCTCGACAGAAACAAGGGGTTAATGTACTCAAATCCTTCAAACTCCGATTGGTCTATTCTTTTTATTACATCTCTGCAAAAAATATTATTATTAATATTTATAATAATAATACACACACACACAATCCTGTTAAATAAACAGACAGCAAGACTCTGCAAAATAATAATAATAATAATAATAATAATAATAATAATAATACACACACACATAAATAGACAGCAACACTCTGCAAAATAATAATAATAATAATAATACACACACACACACATAAATAGACAGCAACACTCTGCAAAATAATAATAATACACACACACATAAATAAACGAACAGCAAGACTCTGCAAAATAATAATAATAATAATAATACACACACACATAAATAGACAGCAACACTCTGCAAAATAATAATAATAATACACACACACATAAATAAACAAACAGCAAGACTCTGCAAAATAATAATAATACACACACATAAACAGACAGCAACTCTCTGCTAAATAATAATGATACACACATACATAAATAAACAGACAGCAACACTCTGCAAAATAATAAGAATAATACATACACACACAATAATAATAATAATGCAAAATAATAATAATAATACACACATACATAAATAAACAGACAGCAAGACTCCGCAAAATAATAAGAATAATACATACACACACAATAATAATAATAATAATACACACACACATAAATAGACAGCAACGCTCTGCAAAATAATAATAGTAATACACACATACATAAATAAACAGACAGCAACACTCTGCAAAATAATAATAATAATAATAATACACACACACATAAATAGACAGCAACACTCTGCAAAATAATAATAGTAATACACACATACATAAATAAACAGACAGCAACACTCTGCAAAATAATAATAATAATAATAATACACACACACATAAATAGACAGCAACGCTCTGCAAAATAATAATAATAATACACACATACATAAATAAACAGACAGCAAGACTCCGCAAAATAGTAAGAATAATACATACACACACAATAATAATAATAATAATACACACACACATAAATAGACAGCAACGCTCTGCAAAATAATAATAGTAATACACACATACATAAATAAACAGACAGCAACACTCTGCAAAATAATAATAATAATAATAATACACACACACATAAATAGACAGCAACACTCTGCAAAATAATAATAGTAATACACACATACATAAATAAACAGACAGCAACACTCTGCAAAATAATAATAATAATAATAATACACACACACATAAATAGACAGCAACACTCTGCAAAATAATAATAATAATAATAAATATATACACATAAACAGACAGCAACACTCTGCAAAATAATAATAATAATAATAATAATAATAATAATACACACACATAAACAGACAGCAACACTCTGCAAAATAATAATAATAATAATAATAATACACACACATAAACAGACAGCAACACTCTGCAAAATAATAATAATAATAATAATAATACACACACATAAACAGACAGCAACACTCTGCAAAATAATAATAATAATAATAATAATAATATACACATAAACAGACAGCAACACTCTGCAAAATAATAATAATAATAATAATAATAATACACACACATAAACAGACAGCAACACTCTGCAAAATAATAATAATAATAATAATAATACACACACATAAACAGACAGCAACACTCTGCAAAATAATAATAATAATAATAATAATAATAATAAAAATATACACATAAACAGACAGCAACACTCTGCAAAATAATAATAATAATTCACACATACATAAATAAACAGACAGCAACACTCTGCAAAATAATAATAATAATTCACACATACATAAATAAACAGACAGCAACACTCTGCAAAATAATAATAACAATAATACACACAAACATAAACAGACAGCAACACTCTGCAAAATAATAATAATAATAATAATAATAATAATAATAATAATATACACATAAATAAAATTAAGACGGCAACATTAACTTTGGTTTGTTTGACCTAAGGGATGCGTTAGTGTTACGAAATGATGCATTTTAGATTAAAAGACAAAAGAGGTGTGAACTTTGGAAGGTTTTAAAATAGGCAATGTTTTTGTCTCATGGACAAATTGCAGAACAATATAAAGACAGGCCAAGATTTGTTTGGATTTGCAACCAATTAATCCAGAGTTTGAAAGTTTATTACACTCAGAGGATGTTTACCATGCGATTGGCCAAAAATTTATAGATTGCTGCTAAAATATTAAATGGGGGGCTTAGTGTCTTGGTGCTGGGAATAGCCTAACGGAGGATATAAAGTTCCCACCATGGAAAATATAGTCAGATGAAGCATTGTTTCAGAATCCTGTTAAGTCCTAGTTCTTGTTCTAGGGAAGATTCATGTTAAGGATTTCTTGTTCATGGTTTGACTCTTTGTCTCTTGGGATTATATACTCCTGCTGTGGATTAATGTTTTCCTGGTGCTCAGGATTGTATTACAAAAGTCTGGATCTTACTTTTGGACTTTGCTGAACCCTACCTTGGAATGTTTTGTTCCTGCTTATCTTCCTACCTTATTGGACTCATCTATTTGTGGTGTTTTACAGTCAGAGGGTTATTAGTCCTGTTCTGGAGTGCAACAGTTTCCAACAGACCTCACAACCTCTGAGGAGGCTTGCCATAGATGGGGGCGAAACATCAGGAGAGAATGCTTCTGGAACTTGGCCATACAGCCCAGAAAACTCACAGTAACTCAGTCAATCCTGCTATGAAAGCCTTCGGCTCTTTCCAAGACAGTGTTTTAAATGTTTCTCAGATATTTGTGGAAACCCAGGCCTGAAACGGTCTACAAGATTAACATACAGGACAAGAGGAAAGACATACTCATCATCCGGGGTTAGCTGTACAGGTTCGCTGGTGAATTGGGTATCAAAATTATCCAAACCGTAATCGTCTGTGATCTGAGGCTGAAAGGGAGGGGTGGCCTGCTTCTTCTCCAGCTGGAAGAGACAAGAAGCAAGAGAGAGGCGAGGAATCATTACAGAACTGGTTAACGTAGCATCAAGTCCCGGCATGCACACCAGAAAGCGAAGGGAGGCCACGCTCTCATAGACTGAGTCATTGGCAGTCCTTCTCAGCCAAGGAACTCAAGACAGCCATTCTAATGTCTGCCACCGTGAAGATATACATTAATGTTTTACTCTATTACGATTGTTATTATTACTTTTACATTTTTTTAAATTTTTACAAAATATTTCTATTCCGTCTTTCTCACCCCGAAGAAGACTCAGAACGCATACACAGCAAAGATTCAACGCTGTTAAACAGACAGGACAGACAACAGATCTCTATTATGTCACCATTTTTCTCAACTTCGGCATCCTGGAGGTTGTGCTCGATTCTGGCCACAGGGTGGTGCCGTCGGTCCATCCTCTAAGTCAAAGCGCACTTGATCACAGACTTCCTCCTTCTTTTGATCACCCAATTTTCTGGTACTTCCTTTTCATGGTACCGTAAAATACCTTCCCACTTAAGCAGTGCCTAATTTTTCTACTCACAGCTGTTTTTGGAATACTTAGGTGGATAGTAAGCTGGGCTGAAGGTTGGGTGCTCACCCCGACCTGGGCTTTGAACTGCCAACCTTTCGATTGGTGTGGTCTATTGCTGCTCTATTTTACTCTTTTAACAGTAAAGGTAAAGGTTTCCCCCTGACATTAAGTCCAGTTGTGTCCAACTCTGGGGGGTGGTGCGCATCTTGAAGAGCCAGCATTGTCCGTAGACATCTCCAAGGTCATGCAACCAACATGACTGCCGTTACCTTCCCGTCACATCTACTCACATTTGCATGTTTTCGAACAGCTACTATACTTATCTGTCTTGTGTCCAAATTTGGTGTCAATTCATCCAGTGGTTTTTGAGTTCTGTTAATCCCACAAACGAACATTACATTTTTATTTATATAAGATGATTATTCTTATTACTCTTATTATTTTCCTCTCTTTATTATTATTATTACATTTGTTATTTTACTCTATTTTTATTATTATATTGACTATTTTACTTTATAATAATTTTTATGATTACATTTATTACTTTACTAAATTTATTGTTGTTATAACTACATTTAGTATTTTACTCTATTTATTATTATTTTACTTATTGCTATTATTACATTTAGTATTTTACTCTATTATTACTGTTATTATTCCATTTACATTATTTTACTCCATTCTTTTTATTACATTTACTTGCTGTCCCCTGCCATGCGTTGCGGTGGCCCCGTATGTGAGTATGTGTTTTGTGTGTGTGTGTATTTGTATGCTGTGTGTGTATGTATGTGGTTTTGCACATGTAATGTATTTTTCTATTTTTTTGGCTTTTAAGTCCCTTCTGCTGTGTTTTTCAGTGTGTGTGGTTTTGTGCATGCATTGTAATGGTTTTTTTATTTATTTCTTGGCTTTTTAAGTCTCTTCCGCTGTGTTTTTCAGTGTTTTTTTTTTGTTTTTGAGTGATGGGCACACACTCGTTGGTCTGAGAGGTGTCTTGTGTCCAAATTTGGTGTCAATTCACCCAGTGGTTTTTGGGTTATGTTCATCCCACAAATGAACATTACAGTTTTAATTATATAGATTATTTCACTGTTATTATTTTTATTACATTTCTTATTTTACTGTATTATTTTTTTATTATATTTACATTATTATACTCTATTATAACTGTTTTTATTACATTTCTATTATTTTATTATTGGGTTGTTGTAGGTTTTTCCGAGGTATATGGCCGTGGTCTAGAGGCATTCTCTCCTGACGTTTCGCCTGCATCTATGGCAAGCATCCTCAGAGGTAGTGAGGTCTGTTGGAAGTAGGAAAAAGGGTTTATATATCTGTGAAATGACCAGGGTGGGACAAAGGACTCTTGTCTGCTAGAGTGAGGTGTGAATGTTTCAGCTGACCACCTTGATTAGCATTTGATGGCCTGGCAGTGCCTCAAGCAAACTTTTGTTGAGAGGTTATTAGATGTCCACAGAGAAGCCATTGAAATCCACAAGAAGCATGTGGACAATTTCAACAGAAAGGAGGAAACCATGAAAATGAAGAAAATCAGGCTACCAGTATTAAAAAACTCTAAAATTACAACAGAAAAACAGCAGATAGGAAACAACCAGGCACATCTTAACACCTCTCAACAAAAGTTTGCTTGAGGCACAGTCAGACCATTATATGCTAATCAAGGTGGTCAGTTGAAACATTGCCACCTAGCTCCAGCAGACAAGAGTTCTTTGTCCCACCCTGGTCATTCCACAGATATATAAACGCCTTTTTCCTAGTTCCAACCGACCTCACTACCTCTGAGGATGCTTGCCATAGATGCAGGCGAAACGTCAGGAGAGAATGCCTCTAGAACATGGCCATATAGCCCGGAAAAACAACAACCCTGTGATTCCAGCCATGAAAGCCTTCGACAATATTTTATTATTATTTATTTACAGCATTTATATTTATTTTACTCTCTTTATTATTATTGAAGAAGGTTAGAACAATGGTTCAGAGTTGGACAGTCTTATCTTAAATTTATGTAAATATTCAAAAACATTGAACCTACTGACGCCTCAATTAATGTCACTTTATTAGTACTTATTTTTGTTTTGAAATTGACCAGTAGCTGCTGCATTTCTCACCCTCGGCTTATATTCGAGACAATATGTTTTCCCAGTTTTTTTTTTTGGGGGGGGTAAAATAAGGTGCCACAATTTATATTTGGGTTGGCTTATACTCGAGTATATATGGTCATAATAATTATAATTCTTACTCTCCTTGAGACAGAGGAAGCGGAATTCAAATACTATAAATAGTAATAATAATCCAGAATGAAAGCATATCCTGTGTTTACAAACTGAAATTAAATCCAGACAAGACAGAGGTACTCCTGGTCAGTCGCAAGACCGAACGGGGCATAGGGTTACAGCCTGTGCTGGATGGGGTCGCACTCCCCTTGAAGGCGCAGGTTCGCAGCTTGGGTGTGATCCTGGATTCATCGCTGAGCCTGGATCCCCAGGTTTCAGCGGTGACCAGGGGAGCATTTGCACAGCTTCGGCTCGTGCGCCAGCTGCGCCCGTACCTCGGGAAGTCTGACTTGGCCACGGTGGTACACGCTCTGGTCACAGCCCGCCTTGATTACTGCAACGCTCTCTACGTGGGGCTGCCCTTGAAGACGGCCCGGAAGCTTCAGCTAGTCCAGCGCGCGGCAGCCATGTTACTAACAGGAGCGGGACGCAGGGAGCACACAACGCCCTTGTTGTTCCAGCTCCACTGGCTGCCGATCTGCTACCGGGCCCAATTTAAGGTGCTGGTGTTGGCCTACAAAGCCCTAAACGGTTCCGGCCCAAAATACCTTTCTGGACCGCATCTCGGCCTATGAGCCCACGAGGGCCTTGAGATCGTCTGGGGAGGCCCTTCTCTCGATCCCGCCTGCCTCACAGGCACGTTTGGCGGGGACGAGAGATAGGGCCTTCTCGGTGGTGGCGCCCCGGCTATGGAGCACCCTCCCTGTGGACATCAGACAGGCGCCCTCCCTTATGTCATTCCGCAAGAGCTTAAAGACATGGCTATTCGAGCAGGCGTTCAACTAAACATTACAACAACTGGCATTGATGACTGGAACGGAATATGGAATACGAGATTGGTTTACGATTTTACGATGAGACGACGCGGATGATTTAGAGTAATTATTGTTGTATTATTGATGTTATGTGCTTATTGTGTTGTATGAGGGTTGTATTGTAAACTGTTTTTATATGTTGTACACCGCCGTGAGTCGCCCGAAAGGGCTGAGAACGGCGGTCAACAAATGCAATAAATAATAAATAATAAATTTACATCAAAATGAAATCTCGTTTCAGGTCTATGAATTAGTGGTTTTCAGTCTATGGAAAGCTAGCATAGATAGATAGATAGAGAGAAACATATTTAAGTGAAAAGGGGATGACAACATATTTTGGTAATAAGCTTTAAACACGCAGCAACAGTCACTACAGTCCAGAACAAATGCATCAACAAAATGTTACCATGTCCCAGTCAATGCTGCGGAAGAACGTGTGAGACTTGATATCAGAAAATCCGGTGTCTGGTTGGCATCCGAGCCTCTCTTTGGGATCCTAAAGGCAAAAGGAAAACATGACTCAGAAAAGCAAGGACGGGCAACTATTTCCTCGTTCAACAGACAAAGAACCATCGCAGCAGCCACTGGACTGGATCCCGACGAGGGAGAGGTTAAGCCCTTTCCACAAAACCTCACTGAAGTCAATGGAAATCACCTATGGACCGCACTGCATATGTACTTAGCATTCAACGTAATTGTATACATAATAAATGACTTTTTAAGAGTAATGCTTGCAAAATATGGTCCATCGTTTACTTCAGCCTTCATATTCATTACAAAAACAGCAGCTTTTTTGTTGAGTTCCTACAAAACAGCTTTTTTGTTGAGTTCTTACAAAACAGGAGCTTTTTTGTTGAGTTCCAGGGTCAGAGAAGCAGATTGCGAAAACAGAAGAACGGCCTGTCTCAGGGGAGCATGCTTGTTCCATCAATGTTTAACATGTACACAAATGACCAGCTACTGCCAGAAGGGACAGAGAGTTTCATCTATGCTGACGATTGTGCCATCACTGCCCAATCAAGGAGCTTTGAAATGGTTCAACAGAAGCTCAATGGACAAAGAACCATCGCAGCAGCCACTGGACTGGATCCCGACGAGGGAGAGGTTAAGCCTTTTCCACAAAACCTCATTGAATTCAATGGAAATCGCCTATGGGCTGCCATGCCGAGGACTGCACTGCATATGTACTTGTCATTAAAAGTAATTGCATACATAATAAACGACTTTTTAAGAGCTTGCAAAATATGGTCCATCGTTTACTTCAATCTTCATATTCATTTTTAAAAAGCAGCTTTTTTGTTGAGTTTCTACAAAACAGGAGCTTTTTTGTTGAGTTTCCTACAAAACAGAAGCTTTTGTCAAGTACACTGCTTATGTACTTGGCATTAAAAGTCATTGTATACATAATAGACTACTTTTTAAGAGTAATGCTTGCAAAATATGGTCCAAATGGTCCAACCCAGGACCCCCCGCAATAAGTGAAAATCCGCAAAGTAGGGACGCCATATTAATTTTAATATTTATACATTATTTTATATGTTATTTTCTTACTCGCACTTCCTTACCCGCCTCCCAGCCCATCCCAAGGGGGCCTGCTTGCCTCCATGGCCTCCACAGACACGCAGGCAGCAGCAGGCCAGGGAGGCAGGCCTTCCCTGCCAAACCTCCAGGGTCTGTGGAGGCCAGGGCGGCAGACCTAACCCACTGCGCCTCAGGCCACCGCACTTCCGGGGTCCCTGGCCTCCATTGGACGTAAATATTTATATTTCAATTTTTTATGAATATTTTCAAAAACCCGCAAAACAGCGAGTCTGCTAAAACCCAACCGCGAAGTAGCGAGGGAACACTGTAAACAGCTTCACTCTCACAGAGCTTTCTCTCACACTGAGGCCTACTAACACTGAGGCCTACTTCACACTGCTTTTAACTGTTTGTGGTTTCTGTATGCATTATAACTATATTTTCAATTAGCTTCTGACACGATAAATAAATGAATAAATAAATAAATAATATCGCTAATAAAGTTCAGACAATGGGCATTATTGACATGAAGAAAGTGATGCTCCATAGTTTCGTCAGACACAGAAAAACAAGAGGTTGCAAAACTTACCTTGTTTAAAAAACCTTTCAAGACGTGAGAGGCCTTGACGGAGAGGAACCGTGGGATTCGGATGGGTTTTTCAAGGATAACTGTTCAAAGAAGTTTGGAGATGTTATGGTGTTTGTAAAGGGAGAGCAAATACACAGGATTGTATTTGCTCTTAATACACAGAATTAAATTTACACTTGAAACTCCCAATCCCCACCACAGCATCCCAACCACAACGTTCCCAGCAGCCTGCCCCTCATCCTCCCCTAAATACCTTGGAAGAGGTAATCTTCAGTATTCAAATCGGGATTGTCAGTAATAATATCAAAGGGAGATCTTCCTGCCATCATTTCAAACATCAGGACACCAAGTGCCCACCAGTCCACACTGAAGCCTGCAAAAAGATCGGAGAAGCAGGCTTTGAAATACAAAAAAAAACCCCACACTTGACCCTATAGTAAGAGTCAGAAACCGGAGAGAACTTTTGCACCTTAATAAACATTGCAAAACTTTAAAATATAATAAGGTATCATATTTTGAGACTGAGACGATAATTTAAAAAACAGCAAAGTAAAAAAGAACTTTAAAGGAATTGGTGAATCCAATTCAGTAAGAAGATAAGCAGGAGCAAAAGGAGTCCAGGATAAAGTTCAGTTTAGAAGATGAGTGTTGCACTCCAGGACAGGAAAAGCCCTCTGAGTGTAAACACCACACCGTTGATTGGAAAATAATCCTTTTATTGAAGATAATGTTTAAAAAATCAACAAAGTAAAAAAAGAACTTTAAAGGAATCGGTGAATCCAATTCAGTAAGAAGATAAGCAGGAGCAAAAGTAGTCCAGGATAAAGTTCAGTTTAGAAGATGAGTGTTGCACTCCAGGACAGGAAAAGCCCTCTGAGTGTAAACACCACACCGTTGATTGGAAAATAATCCTTTTATTGAAGATAATGTTTAAAAAATCAACAAAGTAAAAAAAGAACTTTAAAGGAATCGGTGAATCCAATTCAGTAAGAAGATAAGCAGGAGCAAAAGGAGTCCAGGATAAAGTTCAGTTTAGAAGATGAATGTTGCACTCCAGGACAGGAAAAGCCCTCTGAGTGTAAACACCACACCGTTGATTGGAAAATAATCCTTTTATTGAAGATAATGTTTAAAAAATCAACAAAGTAAAAAAAGAACTTTAAAGGAATCGGTGAATCCAATTCAGTAAGAAGATAAGCAGGAGCAAAAGGAGTCCAGGATAAAGTTCAGTTTAGAAGATGAGTGTTGCACTCCAGGACAGGAAAAGCCCTCTGAGTGTAAACACCACACCATTGATTGGAAAATAATCCTTTTATTGAAGATAATTTTTAAAAACACCAAAGTAAAAAAGTACTTTAAAGGAATCGGTGAATCCAATTAGGTAAGAAGATAAGCAGGAGCAAAAGTAGTCCAGGATAAAGTTCAGGAAACTCCATAAAAGCAAAGTCCACACTTCTCTAATATAATTCAGAAAACCAGGAAACATTAATCCAAGGCATGAGTATGCATTCTTACAATCCAAGAATCCAAACCAAGAGACAAGAAATACTTAGACAAGAATCTTCCCAGCAAGGCTTCCATGAAACAAGGACACGAACCACACTTGATTCTAAACTATGCTTCATCTGACTATATTTCCCATACTTGGAACTTTTATCCCCTCATTAAGCTATCCCAAACACTCAGAAATTGGTTTCGCTTAAGTTGAGATCCCTTATCTTTTTCTGTCGAAGTCTGGCCGAACACCGAAGGCACTGTTCGGCCTGTCTGTCACCAAATTTCAAAACATTTGATTCATCCACAGAATTCTGGCACATTTTCAAAGTTTTCATAAGCAACATTGTAAAAAAAAAAAACTTCAAGAGTTATGTTCTTCAATTTTATATACAACTCACCATACTCTTCTCCTCGTAGAATCTCTGGGGCAATGTAATTTGGCGTTCCACAGAAAGTGCTTGTAGTGTCACCAGGACCCAATCCTTCCTGCAGGAATAAAACATCACAATTCAACCAGCAAAGGCAAATGTTGTTAGGTGAGTGGGCTTATTAACGAAAGACCCCCCTCATAGATGCACAGCAGAGTAACTTATGAGCAGCAGCGTGACCCAGCACCAGTAGCCCAGTGATAAAAAGAACCAAAAACAGGCAGACCAATATTCTCTCTTCCATAGGAGACTTTTCTTTGTAGTAAAATAATATGGTTGACCTATTTACAAGAACAGGTTTTCCATAAATAAAAGTGTCAGTCTGAGGTAGCCCTCAGAGTGAGAGAGGCCTCACTGGGAGAAAGGCCTCAATGTGAGGTAAACCTCAGTGTTATTTCGCCTCAGTGGGAGAAAGGTATCAGTCTGAGTTAGCCCTCAGAATGAGAGAGGCCTCACTGGGAGAAAGGCGTCAGTCTGAGTTAGCCCTCAGAGTGAGAGAGGCCTCACTGGGAGAAAGGCCCCAGTGTGAGGTAAACCTTGGTGTTATTTTGCCTCAGTGAGAGAAAGGTGTCAGTCTGAGTTAGCCCTCAGAGTTAGAGAGGCCTCGGCCTGAGAGAGGCCTCAGTGGGAGAAGACCTCAGTGTGAGGCCTTCTCCCACTTATCAAAGTTCTTTATACTTCCTACTTTGCTTCCATGCTGGGCTTCTTTCTCATGCAGATAAAAAGCTTTGCTCTCACAGAGCCTCTTCTCACACTGAACTTACACAGGAGCTTCACACAGTAGCTTTATTCACAGCAGCCATCACACTGGAGCTTCACACATGATGGCCTTCAACCTGGGGCTTATCTCACCAAAGCTTCCCACTTCAGGCCTACTAACACTGAGGCCTACCTCACACTGAGGCCTTCTCCCACTGAGGCCTCTCTCAGGCTGAGGCCTCTCTCACTCTGAGAGCTAACTCAGACTGACACCTTTTTCCCACTGAGGCCAAATAACGCTGAGGTTTACCTCACACTGAGGCCTTTCTCCCAGTGAGGCCTCTCTCACTCTGAGGACTACCTCAGACTGACACCTTTATATATATACGATCTTAAGGTCCTAGATGGCTCATAAGAGGAGATGCGTTCGGACATGTAAGTTGGGCCAAAACTGTTTAGGGCTTTATAGGCTAAAGCCAGCACTCTGAATTGTGTCCGGTAGCAGACTGGCAGCCAGTGGCGCTGGCACAACAGAGGAATTGTACGCTCCCTGAGCGCCCAGAGGCAAAATGACACTGAGGCCTACCTCACACTGAGGCCTCTCTCAGACTGAAGTCTCTTCATACTGAGGGCAACTAACACTGAGGCCTACTAAGCTACAGGTACACCTGCTTATATTGAACTCCAGCTTTTGCGGAGTCATTGCATTCATTTAACCCTTTCAGTGCTTGACTCACATTTTTGTAATTAAAAATACCTAGCTAATTTTTAATATTTCTCACAAAGTATTGTCGAAAGCTTTCATGGCCGGAATCACTCAGTTCTTGTGGGTTTTTTCGGGCTATATGGCCATGTTCTAGAGGCATTTCTCCTGACGTTTCGCCTGCATCTATGGCAAGCTTCCTCAGAGACCTGAGGAAGCTTGCCATAGATGCAGGCGAAACGTCAGGAGAAATGCCTCTAGAACATGGCCATATAGCCCAAAAAAACCCACAAGAACTGAGGATTTCTCACAAACTTGGCCTTCAAGGAACCTCCCTTCAGCCAGAGAAGGGACGCTGCAACTCTAAGACTCTTTTTGTGGTCCAAAATCCTGCCATTTCAGTGTTTATAATCAAACGCCATTCATGTACGCACGGATCCAGACTCAAAAGAATTCATCAACAGAGTCCAGCGAAGGGAGGAGAGCGACTCACCTTGCACATGCCATAGTCCGTTAACTTGATATGTCCCTCTGCATCCAGGAGAACATTGTCGAGTTTTAAATCTCGGTAGATGATCCCTCTCTCGTGGAGGAAGTTGAGGGCAATGCAGATTTCAGCAGCATAAAACCTGGACATAAAAAAGTAGTTGCATACATTCAAAAGCAGTATTAATTTCACTTAATTATTAAGGACGGTTCTATACTTAACTCATCCCCAAAGTGCCCTCACCCATGAGCAGGCTTTTGTAAAAGAAGCAAAACCAAACAAAAACACATCACTTGAAAGCTGAATAAAGTACGGTTCCTGTATCAATATTTACACCAGAGAAGGGCAACTGAGGAAGGCTAGAGGTGGACCCCGTTCTGTAGGGGAAATCCGGGGCCGATTTTGCAATCGGGCCAAATATACCCGGAAACAGGGCAAACACTGGAGGCACCAAAATGAGTGAAGGCTAGAGAGGACCTCACCACACCTGCTTCTGCAAAAACAAGGATTTTATTTGGCACCATCCCTCCATCCACTCATCCACCCACCTATAATCCATCTATTGCCCATCTGTCTGTCCATCAGCCTTCTATTCATCAACTCATATACCCACCTATCATTCACCTATCACCCATCTGTCTATTGCCCATCCACCACCCATCCACCCATCTATGAATTCATTCATCCACCCATCCATCACCCATCTGTCTATCATCCATCCATCCCACCCATCCACCTATAATCCTTCCATCCACTCATCTATCCACCTATAATGCATCCATCAACCCATCCATGGCTCATCTGTCTGTTCGTCAGCCTTCCACCATCCAACCATTCACTCATCTATCCACCTATAATTCATCCATCACCCATTTGTCTATCAGCCATCCACCATCCATCACCCATCTATCAGCCATCCATCCTCCATCCATTCGTTTATCATCCACTCATCTATCCACCTATAATCCATCCATCACCCATCTATCAGCCACCCATCCATTCTCGATCCACCTATCCATCTGTTTATTATCCATCTATCAGCCATCCAGTATTCATCCATCCATCCACCCACATACCCATCCATCTCTCATCTGTCTGTCAATCAGCCACCCACCATCCATCCACCTATAAGCCACCTATCACCCATCTATCAGCCATCCATCCTTCATCCAGCTACCCATCCATTTATCATCCATCTATCAGTCATCCACTATTCATCCACCCATCCATCTCTCATCTGTCTGTCAATCAGCTACCCACCATCCACCCATTCTCTACCCATCTCCATCTATCACCCACCTGTCTATCGGCCATCCACCATTCATCCAACTATTCATCCATCCATCCTCTATCAATCTATCTATCCATCTCTATCTCTCACCCATTTGTCTGTCTATCAGCCATCCACACATTCATCCACCCATTCATCCACCCATCCACTCATCTATCCACCTAAAATTCATCCATCACCCATCTGTCTATCAGATGTCCACCATCCATCCATCCATCACTCATCTGTCTATCAGCCATCCATCATTCATTCATGCATCCATCTATCCATCCGACTGTCTATCATCCATCCACCATACATCCTCCATCTATCTATCTATCTATCTATCTATCTATCTATCTATCCATCTCCATCTATCACTCATCTGTCTGCCGATCAGCCATGCATCATCCATCCTCCATCCATCCATCCATCCATCCATCCATCCATCCATCCATCCATCTGCCCACCCACTGATCTATCCACCTATAATCCATCCATCACCCATATGTCTATTGGCCATCCATCATTCATTCATGCATCCATCTATCCATCCATCTGTCTATCATCCATCCACCATTCATCCTCTATCTATCTATCTATCTATCTATCTATCTATCTATCTATCTATCTATCCATCCATCCATCCATCCATCCATCCATCCATCCATCCATCCATCTCCATCTATCACTCATCTGTCTGCTGATCAGCCATGCATCATCCATCCTCCATCCATCCATCCATCCATCCATCCATCTGCATTGAATTATTGCTGTTTTTATTGGTGTAAACCGCTGTGAGTCGCCTTCGGGCTGAGAACAGCGGTATATAAGTAAATAAATAAATAAATAAATATCCACCTATAATCCATCTATCACCCATTTGTCTATCAGCTATCTGCCATCCATCCTCTATCTATCTATCTAGCTGTCTGTCTGTCTGTCTGTCTGTCTGTCTGTCTGTCTATCTATCTATCTCGCTCTCTGTCTGTCTGTATATCCGTCGATCCATCTATGTCATGTATCACCTATTTGTCTATCAGCCATCCACCATCCATCCATTAATCAAAGCCAAGACGTCCTATTTTAGTCATTATGATATTGTATACAAACATAATGAGTTCAAATATATGCATGGCACCATTTTTTCAGCAATTTGGCCCATGAATAAAGGATAACATGGCACATAAACAAGGGGAGTTCAAAGATGGTTGACTGAGAAGGACTGAAGTTCCAAAACAGGGGCTGAAGGATCACCCAAATTCTAGAATTGGGATCTCAGCATTGAGTATGTCGGAAAACAAACACCTATGAATCTCTGAAACCTCAGAGCGTACAAGTCAGTTTGGATACAAGAACAATAGGAGCAGAAGAGAACCACTGATTTCGGATTCCATGGACAATATCTCTACCTTGCGTGCTCTTCCGGGAGCTTCCGTTGCCGTTGCATATGAAACATGAGGTCGCCCCCGTTCACGTATTCTATAACAAGAAACAACCTGCAAGTATAACATCACCGTTATTTGGCTTGAGGAAATGGCCCACATAAGCCGACCACATCGCATGCCACGGGGGCAAGCCGTCTCTCTTCTCAGAGCAACACCGCGGGAACCAAGTAACGTCACAACGAGGTGTTTTTCCCCGGAAGGTTTGGAGTGGGAGAAGATCCACCCTGACAGATGGTGCCTATCCAAGACATACTATTTTTAAATATTGCAAACATTTAAAAACATTTTTAGATACTGAGTTGCTGTGAGTTTTCCTGGCTGTCTGGCCATGTTCCAGAAGCATTATCTCCTGTCGTTTCGCCTGCATCTATGGCAGGCATCCTCAGAGGTTGTGAGGTCTGTTGGAAATGAAGCAAGTGGGGTTTATATCTCTGTTGAATGTTCAGGATGGGAGAAAGAACTCTTGTCTGCTTGAGATGCATGTAAATGTTGCAATTTCCCACCTTGATTAGCATTTAATGG